TGCATCAAGTCGAATTTCACATATTGCCTATCAAGGTGGCGAAGTCGGAAGTTGCACTTACTGCAGTGAGTTACACCAAAAAGGAGTTAAACAAGTAGTTTAACAGTAATTTTTTTAAGAGTTGTAATTTTTTACAGGCAACGAAGTGTGATCAGCAGGATCAGCTAGTAACACTATAAAAGGAAAATTAATATCTTTTTATGGTTCGTTTTTATGACACCCGCTAAATTCATAATACTTTGAACAGCCTAGGGCACTTTCTCCATTTACCCCCCCCCCCCCTTGGGTTGGATATGCTTATGGTTTAAAATATATAAAAGGTTAGTTTATTTGTGAGAAACTCTCAAAATACGATAATATGTTATAATATAATATAATATTATGCTATTTGACCTTGCTGCCGCCGTCGCTTCCTTTCACATAATAATAATATAATGATAGTGCGCTCAGCGGGAACCACCATGTTATAGTAATAATAATAATAAAAGGAAAAAAACTGGTTAGACACGTAGCCAGGACAACAATATAATATATTATTTTATATTATTATATTCGAGTGACGTGCAGCTGCGACTCAAACACTATAGCCGATGGGTACACGGCCGTAGTAGATGTACATAAATATATTATATTATATACGCATCGAGCTGTGGGTCGAACACGTCACAGGGGATAATAATTGCTATTAAGGGATGTTGTTGGCGTCAACCCGGCGGGCAGCTGTATCGATTTAGTCAAACTCCTATTGTGCGCAACATTTCGTTTTCGGCGTGCGCGGCTTTGTCTGCATCATAAACAACGGGGGTTGGATCTTGGAAGTATATGCGCATGTACCTATGAATACATGTTTCCAGGCGGAATAATATTCTCTACCGAGGAGGCTGTATTATAACAACGATTATGATGATGATGATGATAGTAATAATAATAATAATAATAATAATACCGCACATGGGACCTTTTTTGGAGAAAAAATGTATACAATGTAAAACGTGTTTCTTTGGCTTGGAAAACGGATGACACGCCACCATATAATATATTATAAACCGTTTAGTTAAAATATACATTATTATCGTAGCTGAAGATCTAAGGATTATAATATATTATTATTATTTCTGGTCGTACGGCGGACGACTGACGCCATCACCGCGTCGCACCATGTCGCCGCCACAGGTTTTAAATCCACAGGTTCGTTTCATCATGAATTCTACTTTTTCTTATTTTCTTTACATATTTAATTTAGTGAGCCATGAACACCAACTGAATGAAATACTTTTTGTAACAGTTTAGACCTATGTATATTTTTCTACCTGACGCAACCGGACATCTAATTTCAGTATGATAACCGGCGAGGTAAGAAATAAGAATACTCAAAAACCTTTAGACAAAATTTTATTGTAACAAAATACTACAATTCTGTCTTGTAAGAAAAACAAAATAAATAATTCTGTCATCAACAGTTTGTATTTGATATATTATATATTTTAAAAATAATTGGAAGTTTAATAATTTGGGTTCTTCTAAATTGCTTAATATTAGTACATGTGTATATTATGTTGTATAATTGTATTGTCGTTTAACTTTATGATCGTATATTTTTTGTTATTAAAATTGTACACCAATCTTTAGTATTCATATTAATGGATATATTAGTCCACTATTACATTCGATCACAATATTGTCAGATCACTGATATATATTGTTACGTGTACCAAATTAACATTTTACATTTTCACACCTTACACAAATATTATTATTCACAACTCTAGTAACTAATAGGTACAAACGGAATACATACTTGCAACTACGAAACTAATTTAATAATATTTTCTTTTACTTTTTTAATATATTAATTATGAAAAACATTTTACAAATCAATGTTATACATTTGAAATTATATTATGTAACCCGAGTCTCGAGAGTTTGATGTGAAATGGTTAACACTCTTATAGTATTTAATGTTTCAGGAATACTATAGTGAAAACGTTTCAAAGACAAAACAAAATATATATAATTATATTTTTATTTTTTCTCGAGTATTTTGAATTTCCAATTAAATTTTCCTACTAGGTACCTAATATTTTATGTATAGACGTTTGGTATAACAACCTATTAACGTTTTTAGTTAATACTTACAACCCATAATAGCTTTAGTAGCTTGAAGGTAGAAGGGTGTATTAATATTTTGTATTTCATTATTCATATAAAAATTAACAGGTGGGTCTGTTACTCTGTTGGCATCTCGTGTCTGGGTAGGTAATAAACTAAAATATTTATAACTATTTTGATTTGGCATAATAATATTTTATTATAATATAAATTAAATTGACTGTACATAAAAAAAATAATAATGATAGGTAATTATAGGTACATACTAATTAGTAATAATTTATGAATATGGCTAAATTACATATTATAATCAAAAGCTTAATAACATTTTAAAAATATAAAATATAAAATCTTATTCTATACTAATATCTTATAAAATAATATTCTTTAAACTAATAAAATTATCATTAATATTTTAATCTTTAAGTATTAAATGTACACCAAGGTATCAAGTATCAATGCCGCATAGTCTGAAGCTATAAATAATAAAAATACCTATGCAACAATAATAATTAAAAGTGTTTTAATTTTAATAATTTTAATCGTACTAATATAATATGATGTTATTGAAGTATCATCATATTTGAAATTTAATTTACAACTTTACAAGGATTACTAAATAAATAAAATGTAATAAATACTTCTCGGCTTGCTTTAACTTATAAGAATAAAGATAACTTACAATAGGTACATAATGGTACATTAAAACAGTCATATACTCGTATTACAACTTAGTTATAACAATTTTCTAATTTTGAGAGCATAAGAAGAAAAATATTCTGAGCCTGTCAAGGTGGCGTATATAACAAATAAGTATGATGTGAATCTACTCCAATAAATTGAGTCGTAAAAACATTTTAATTTGTTTTGTATAATTATTGAAGAATTGTAATTGTTATGTTCACTATTTTATCAAATTTCGGAGGACCTTCGATCTTAACCGGTGAATTTAAACTGTATGGCACTAAATTCCAATAGCAATAATATACCTCAAAGCTTTAGCAACCAATAAAATTTTGAACGAGAGCCTCGAATGACATTTATTATAATGAGGTTGACAACATTTTTACCTTTTTACGATGATGTGTAGACATATTATAGGTAGTGTATGCACGCAGTAGAAAGGGAGACAAATAATAATAAGCGACTGCGTATGATGTTGAGGGTAAAAAATATTGTTAAATTACTGCGTTATCGAGTATATATAATATAATATAGGTATTTAGCGGGTTTCCCAAACTGTTTGGGAGAATCTAATAATTAATTTTTGTGGGCGTTATACTCCGCCGCCGGATTTATGACTGAGAAGAAGTACATAAAACCGTATAGGCGACGTATTACGTCAATACGTCAAATTTACTTTTTGTGCCCACGAACATTAATTTGATTGACATGTTATTGTCGTCCTCGAAGATGTGGTGACAATCAATAAGATTTTTTTTTATTTAATCAACCATTCTATACCCATCTATTTTTTCATGAGACCTAGTCGAAAAATATCGTAACCACCTCGCGGTCGTGTTAATTTAGTAAATACAGCCCTGAGTCCCTTAAATGTATAGTTTTCTTTTACTTTTCACGATTATATAATATGTAGATGGTATACAAGGTTCCAAAATTATCAAAGTCACACAATAGTACTCATATACATTGGTATATTATTATATAAGTATATATACTATATAACATACTAATATATTATTATGCATTACTCATGGATGTAATAGGTACTTACTGAATGTTTTAAATATTTTATTAGATACACTGCACATTTTGTACCTAAATATTACTTTGCATTGTACGAAATGTGTTCCGAATAAATCAAAAACTGTGTTTCAAAATGTGCATACCAAATTACCGCAGTTAACGTGACTAAAATTACATTACATACATTAGATATAGATTTTTAAGAGACTAATTAATTATTGTAGATTTGAAACAAAAAAAGGTCGAAAAAACTTTGTGCATACCAAATTACCGCAGTTAACGTGACTAAAATTACATTACATACATTAGATATAGATTTTTAAGAGACTAATTAATTATTGTAGATTTGAAACAAAAAAAGGTCGAAAAAACTCGATATTCATACCAGTGGGCTGTATTGGTATCCCTTAAATTACGATGAGCTTGCACAACCATGGCAACCAATAGTGTTCGCTCAAAACATCGACCCTTTGAATTTCCCGAACCCGGCAATGGCCGCAGTCTGTGACTGTCAGCATCATATGTACATTGTGAATCAACGTGTGAACCACTTAATACAAAAATATTGCTGATCAATTATTATATATTTTTTTTACAGGTAGAAATAAGCAAATTATCATTTTTATTTCTAAAAACGATATTAACGTGTTTCAATTATTTTGAACATTTATAATACCTATACTGAGTATTGAATCCAAAAATACTTATGTCGTGATGGGGCGAATTCCCTCCCTTGAAGTCGCATTATCCCTCCCTCCGATAAATACAACTGTCAACAAAATGTATTTATTAAATGTACTTAGAAATTATCTTATCGTGGTCAATAACATTTTTTTGTAATTATTTCTAAATTATAAATGTCTTAATTGTACTTTGTAATATTCAATATTTAAATAATGTTATAATATTCATAGTACTAAAGGCTCAGTCAAACAGAGAGCTGGCCCATGGTGAACGCGGACAACATTCCAGTTGTATTATTTTACAGTGGCAGACGGCTTTCTGTTGACTAAGCCTAGTTAGCCTTGACTAAAGAAAAAAAAGTAAGCCCCTCCCAAAAAAATTGTCACTATTCAATGTTGCTTATACTGTTTATTATTACTTTCTAGTTGTACAAAAAAACGAAAACCATTTCATTTCAAGACTTTGTCACTCGGTTCAGTCAACTTTCACAGGTATACAAGATGGTACGTATCTATTTTCTTATATATTTTTCATTTGTTTTTCGGCTGGTCAATTTATTCGTATGTTGTTGTATAATTGCACGTACCTATGCCATAACAATTAAGCCATCATTGTTGTATTATTTATATCCATTCTTATTTAAATGTCTGGTTACAGCAGTATTTACCGGTCAAGTGGACATACCCGAAGGAAAAATTGTACTATACCGTTAGGATTGAAGAAGATATCCTAGTAAAATTAATCAAGGCCATGTACTCGAAGGCGAGATTGCACGGAGAAGATTTCGACTACCACCGTCGCGAGGCAGGTGTCCGCGATTACGATATCGGCAACAGAGGAAACAGCGGCAAAAATGGCAACGGTGGCAACAATAGTGGTGCAGTGGCACGTGGGCCGAGCGGTAACGAAGGGACTCTTGGGCCTGCAGGTGGTCGTGAATGGACCAATCACGTAGGCGTCCATCGCACTCTGGGCTACGAGTCGCAAGACAAAAACGCTGCTAAACCCTAAACGAATTCGTTTGATGGCCGAGGAGTGAGACGGGAAGTAAGTTCGCGCGCGTTCATCTGTCACCTCCACTCCCCGCAGCCATTGTATATACACAAGTACTATCTACAGATATATATTTTACTATAGAAATGTTTATTTTAAACTCCTTTGATCATCTAGATCCGTCCAACTTATAGATATTAAGTGTTTATAATATTTTTAAGATATTATAAACTTAATTTTAAGGTTTATGTTTAACTAATCTTTTTAACGGGTATAATATTATTTGATACCTTCACAGTATTAACGACGGTCGTCCACTACGTCGAACAATCCGAGCAGGATATCATCGTTTTATTTTTTTCTCACATTTTTATATATCACAACACAAAACCATATTTATGCAGATTTTTATTTCGTTATACAGCTGCTGTCTGAATATTTAAAGATTACAAATAATCAGTTCTTAATTTGCTATTACACGATACGCAATACGCATACATTAATATATAAAACAATTAAATACCAAACAATATGTTTTTGATAGCGAAACAAATTTGATTGTACTGATTTGTACCTTATATCGTAACAATTAATACATTCAAATTATATCAACTTTTTATTTTTATTTAAACCAACATAAAAATAATACTGTAGTAGTGAGTATTTATATTATATAGATTGGTCGAATCGTCCATGTTATCAATACTGCATATTCTGCCGTGTATTATGTGATATTGTCATCCATCCATCTATATATATTATATATTATATAATTTTAGCTTGATCACTTCCCGTCAAAAGCGGTAGTGATGGTACAACCATTATTTTGTGTTATTTTTATTATAATATTGTCGTTTTATGTTTTAACAATACCTAACGATATTTTTTATGTTTATACTTTATATTATAGTTAATGTTTTTTATGTTTAATTTTCATGTTATATTATATATTTATTCATATATTTAATATTTTTAAGAGTTAATCCGTAGTTAACCTTAGCTGTTTACAAAAACGACGGTATCTATGCTTTATTTTTAAGACAACGTACTCACTGAAATACATGATACAATTGTCAATTATGGATGTTTGATTGGTCGATATGACGATATCCATAATATGAAACGATTAGCTTGGCTTATTAGAGGGTTGTATAGTGTATACCTATATATAACATAATATTTAGGTAGGTACCTCGGTAGACCATAACTATGTAGGGCGTTGAATCATATTATTATAGGTAATATAGATATTATGGAATTTTTGAGGAAGGTTGTGTTTAAATTTGTTATTATAAAATTATAAATTATAATTTATGATTTTAATTTAATTGCGATCGTGGTTTTTAATGTTACATTACTTACATTAAACCAATTCTATAAGAAAATTAAAAAATTGAATTATAATGAAAATCAAAAAAGTAGTTAGATTTCAATTATATAAATTATATTATAATTACTAAACAAATTAAACAAATTTAAATATAGTACAATTATTCACATTTTAGTAATAATAATAGATATTGTTTTTAATTACCTATTAATATTATATGGAATTTAAACAAAAGGAGTCTAATAAGTAAAATAATAGTTATAATAAAGTTTCGTTTCCGTTACACAAGCACCCTTATTTTAGAATGTCGTCTTCAAATGAATGTACATTTTGTCAAACATTTTATTTTCATACTATTTTTTTTTTAGGAGTTCTGGTGTTACATCACACCAATACTACGAGTAACCTTAAAATTAAAAAAAAACTCACTTTTATCTTGTCACCTTTGCTTATAATTATATACAACGACACTTTATAATTCTTTCGTTTCCAGCTCAGGACTTCGCAAATTTATTTTTCGTTCTCGGGGTTGAAATTTCGAATTTGAGTGTAAGAGTGCAGACATCACACCGGAGATTTCTAAAATTTAACTATTTATCTCGCAAATTATTTTGTTTTGGTTTTAACCATAAATTCGAGTTCCAGATTTTACATCTTTATTTTGAGTACGTCAAAGTTAAATTTGATTTCGAATATTACAAATGATTGTCGTTAAAGCAATTCAATATTCAGTGAGATAATATTTACCTATATTGACAAATAATATAAACCTGTTACTATACAACTATATTTATAATTTGTTATTTTAATTTTAATTTTATAAATACTATAGAGTTATAATTCATAATCTACTCTCCTTAAATTCGATTTTGATGAATCAATATACTTAGAAAAATATTCTTCTTTAGAATATGAAATTAAAACTCTAATTAAAAACTTAAAAATTTATAAGGATAAAAAATATTTAAAAATATAATTTACTTAATAAAAACGTTGTTTATTTAACAACTATAAACTATGTAAAAAAATATTTTCAAAAACATTAATACTTTTTGAGATAATGACTGTTGTACGCTTAGTGAATCGCCAGTATACCTATATAAAACAAATTATGTTAATTGTTTTTAACTATATAAATTTAAATATAATTAAAAACAAAACATATAGTTAGATTTTAATTAAATAATATAAAATATAATTTATAAAAAATTGGCATTAGTTAATTAAAGTATTATTATTCACTTATTATATTATTAAGTTTGCTTTTTGTCTAGTTAAACAATAAAAGAAGCCTTTAAAGTATAAGTTTGGTCAACAATTTCGTCGAAAAATTCAGTAGTGTAATAGAATATTTACAAATAATATAAAAGTGTTATAATAAAACTTTATTCTTATAAAAGTATTTTACTATAAAATATTATTTATTGTTTTAGTTTAATTGCGTTCATGGGTTTTAATGTAAGTTTTTTTAATAAATTATGCATATAAATTGAAATATAATAAAAACGAAAAAGTTAGTAAAATATTAATTAATTAAATAAGTTATAATATAATTTATAAACGAATAGGCATAAGTTAATTTAAGTATAATTACTCACTTTATATTAATAATTATAATATTACTTATATGTCTGTGTAGACAAAATAAGGCAAATAAGTAATGTACAATAACAATAGTTATCATTTATAACAATAATTGTCGTTAAATCGGCTAAATATATTTAAAAATATTCTTATAAAGTTATAAACGTATTATTATAAAATAATATGCTAATATAAATATTTTTAAATTAATCAAAATGTATTATTTTTAATTAATTGCGTCCATTGTTTAACATTGTTTCATTAAACCAATATTCATTATATATGTATAAAAAATAAATGTATTCAGTTTTTAATTACCTATATCAATTATAATATTATTATTAAAAAATAGATATAAGTTAATTTAAGTATAATAATTATTCACTTTATATTAGGTAATTACCTAATAACAATGTTATTAACCTATATTTAAACAAAAGGCTAATCACCATTGTCGTTGAAGCCTTAACAATTAATGGGTAATAATAAAAATAATAAATAAACATTATACTGTGTTTCTCTATTGTTAATATTACTCAAAATAAATGGATTTAAAAAATATTATTACCATCGTATATTTGTTTTTAATTATATAATTATTATTTTCTGTTTCTATATTACTCCTTTTCAAATCGTTATAATATATTGTTCTTTAGTGAGACATATCCTTGAGCATGAGCCAATTTATGGGATTAAACAACTTTTTGCAAACGCCAAATGATTTGCAAACAAAATCCTTGCGTTTTACCGTTGATCTCCTCATCATACATTAACATTCACATGTCCCATATCTTCATCAGTCAAGGTGCTTCATTTGAGCAGTTGTTTATCAGAACGCTGATAAACAACTACCTACACATAACGTAACTCAAATCTGGTTTTGTTGATACCTACCTTCCTAGCGAATATCAAATTTAGGATACCTGACCGTCAATTTAAAAGCTCCGCTCCGTTTATTGTATCTTTTTCTCCCATAGTTCATACTATCTGATTACCTAGCTTCATAATTCTCCTGTACGCCTTTTGATGTGCCTCGCCAAGCGAAAATCCTTGCTTTGACTTCTCCAAAATGTTGAAATAATTATGTTAACTATACAAAACTTGCCATTACTTATAAGTGTTTAATTTGTATTTCGTTATTGTTTCTGGTATAAAAACCCGTTTTTCTATGTTAGTTTTTAAATAAATATGTATAAGCGAGATGTCACGAATTTCAGATGAATATTGTGCAAGATGAATCACAATACTCTAAGCCAGTGGTTTTCAAACTGGGTGCCGCGGCACACTGGTGTGCCTCGAGAATTCACTGAGTGTGCCGCGGTCTTTCGGAAAGTTCAACTATTCGTCCAAGAATAAAATTATAAAAATAAATATAAACATTTTTTAGCCCGTCATTCGTCAAGCACTCATTTCTAATTAAATGTACTTATATAATTATAATTCAAAATAATTTTGTTCATCTAATTATTTAGTGCAAAAAAAAAAGGTCTGTGTGCCTTGAAAATTTTTTGTGGAGCACGGTGTGCCGCGTTCAATAAAAGTTTGAAAACCACTGCTCTAAGCAGTAGAATTAATAACAGTATAGTACCTATTATTTTGTATAGACAAGTAGACTAAGTAGCCAACTATCAATGTGCGTCATTATACTTTATATGTGTTCATTATTTGGATTGGTTTACATTATTATTATAAATCAATAAAACAGTGTTGAGTGTTTACTAACAATCAAAAATAGAAGTGTCACTAAATCGCTAAAGTTGTCAATTGAATTGTATTATCAAATTAATTTGATACTCAAGTCCAGTATACAGGCGTAGGTATAGGTAAATAAAATTATGGTATAGACTATATAGGTTAATTATGACATAATTTAAATATAATTTTTCTGAATGATAAAAAGTTATTTTTATACAATACTGTTTATTAATTTTAAACTAAAAGTATATTAGAATATAGACAACACCTAGTTATTGAGCCATTTTAGTATAAACTAATTATTGAACTAGCTATGTATTTAAGACTAACGTGTTAATGGTTTTTTATTCATCTGAAAATAATAAAGTTTTAAATAATTTTAAATTTCCTATTTATTATAAATTATAAT